CTCTTACAGTCTGCAAAAAATAATAAGCCGGATCCAGTTCGAAAATTAAGGAACAACGCAATCATCAACATTAACTGAAATAGATAATTAGATAATTTTAGCTTATACGTCCATTATACATAAAACGCGCACGCGAAAACGTATTGTGCACTTGCGCACACTCATATGCGCAGTCGTAAAAGGTCTTACGCGCACGCGTAAACGTCTATGCGCATGTGTCAACGCGGCGCATGCGCAGAAAGTTTTTAGTTTTGAGGTCCGGATTATAGATCATTCCGAATTATGGGTGTCCGAATTAACGACTTTTGACTGTACTACATTTAGTAAGGAATTAATAAGCCAAATAAAATACAAACATCTGCCCTGAAGATAAGGATAGTGCTGACAGATCAACTTCCAATTCATTGCGTGCCGCGTGAAATTGATAAACAGATTTCGGAATGGTTAGAAAAACAAAGGATATGCCTTTATCCATTTTTTGCAGCAATTCCACTTTTTGTTTAATGGACTTTGAAACATACTTTCGCTTTTAGATCCTTTACATATTAGTAAATATATATTGGAAATTCGGTTGATCTTTGGATTATGGTAACTTGGCGATTTTTTGGCGAAAATTTGGCGACCAACTCTGCTACAGCAACCTTCTATTTTTTTTCATTGCCATTTTGTCTTCACGAAGTAAAGACATGTTTCTTTTCTTTTTATTTACTGAACACTTTTCCAACAATCTACTAGCCGAATTACACTTATGCTAGAAATTTTATGTAACAAAAACTGCTTAATCATGACAAATATTAACTGCAAAATTGGGAAAAAGTGCACAATCGCAAACTCTTTGCGCGTTTTTCAGAATAGCACATACACATAAACCATTTACACGTCGACTTATTTTTACTTAAAAAAACATCCCAGAATTGCAAAAAAGGCATTGCACACACTCTTGACTTTATCCATCTACACTGCTATTTTCTCATAAATTACAAAAATTTGCACGAAAATGCGAAAAAGTTCTGTGAATCTTTAAACTCGGTAAAAAGCACATATATGAAATTACCTGATCGCGAAAAAGTATATACCCTTTCCAAGGATGAACATTTCCACGTATAAAATAAATAAAATATCCAAAAACTTTTACCTCTAAATTATCTATTATACTATAAACGTCACCAACGAATTCATACCGCAAACATTACAAATGGTTACAAATACTTAGTGTCAAATATTTAAATTATTTCCATACACGTTTACTTCAACTGAAACGTATACCAAATTCCTACAAACATAAAATTCACAAAATAACTATCATTTAATTAAAATATCACTAAACCATGTACACGTCAACTTATTTTTACTTAAAAAACATCCCAGAATTGCACAAAAATGGCATTGCGCACACTCTTCACTATATCCATGTACACTGTTTTTTTCTCATAAATTAGAAAAATTTCACGAAAATGCATGAAAATTTTGTGGATCTTTTTTACTTTAATCCGGTAAAAAGAACATATATGAAATTACCTGATCGCAAAAAGTATATACCCTTTCCAAAGATGAACATTTCTACGTATAAAATAAATAAAATATCCAAAAACTTTTACCTCTAAATTATCTATTATATTATAAACGTCACCAACGAATTCATACCGCAAACATTACAAATGGTCACAAATACTTAGTGTCAAATATTTAAATTACTTCCATGCACGTTTACTAAAATATCACTAAACCATGTACACGTCGACTTATTTTTACTTAAAAAAAATCCCAGAATTGCACAAAAATGGCATTGTGCACTCTCTTCACTATATCTATGTACACTGGTTTTTTCTCATAAATTAGAAAAATTTCATGAAAATACTCAACGTATTCTACTCAAACGTATTCCAAAATACTACACACATATAACTCACAAAATCACGATCATTAAATTAAAATATAATTAAATTAAAAAACACTACTTAAAATATAAATAAGCACATACATTAAATTAATAAAAATTAGATTACAATCCTAATTACTTTAAACTAAATCATTGCTAATAACAATTTTCCAATAATATCGTATTAATTTATTTACTCCTCACATTTAGAACAATGCATAAAAATAATATCCTCAAATGATTAAAAATACTAACTTACCTAATCTTTAGGATCTTCATTACGTGGCACGCACACTTCCACTATTTCACACAACACACAATGAAGCTTAATACAAAATAATATAGTACTACAGTTTCCCCCCCCTTTTCCAATTAAAGAACTGTAATTCGTCCATTAATGTCACATGACATATCTCATGATCTCTCATTTCCCTCAAACAAAATAATGCGTAATCGGAACTGAGTACTTCTCGCATTATTATCAAAGTCCTAGGTAGTAACCTTTATCGCCTTCAAAATGTCACCAAACTACCAGTTACCATATTCCAAAGATCAGGCGGAAATTCTATTTGACATAATCGAAAGTTCAAGCTTACTTTTATAAAATTGCTCTAACAGTCTGCAAAAAATAATAAACCAGATCCAATTCGAAGATTAAGGAACAAACGCAATCTGCAACATTTACTGAATTAGAAAATTTTAGCTTAGCTTATACCATCCATTATACATTAAACGCGCATGTGTAGACGTATTATGCACATGCGCACACGCATATTCGCAGCCGTAAAGGTCTTACGGCAGAACGTTTGTAGCTTTGAGGTCCGGATTATAGATCATTCCGGATTATGGGTGTCCAAATTAACGACTTTTGACTGCATATAATAAAAAAACAAAATATTTTTTAGGCAGAGTGACATGATTTTACATGAAGAGGCAAACAAATTACTGTAAACAATTTTAGTTCTAAATCAAGAATGAATATATGAAAAATTAGAATGGACTGGGAATTTCCATCATTTGAAAATGAAACTTGACTAACAAATGACGATCATATTTGTATGATCATACTAACTAGAAGTATTTCTCGACACATATTTAGGAGGTCCAGAGTTCAAATATCGGTAATTGTATTGCATATTTCTTGTTTCCTAGCAACGAAAAATTCTAAAAAAACTCTAAAAGGACATTCAAATTAAAAAGTTGGTAATGATAACTAGTCATTACCAAGATTTGGTGACTGGGTTCCCTCATTTTCAGTCACCCTTTTAAAAGAGGGAATATATAAGATATTTTCTCTCTTCTTTACCGCATGCCTTCGTGGTGTAACTGGAAGCACGCTCAAAAAGCATATTTGGGAGGTCTGTAGTTTGAATCCTAGCAAAGGCATATTATCTACAACATAATAAGTTGAAAGTTTTTAATGAACTATTAGGCCAAAGCTGATTAGGATGAATTCAATGAAATATGAGGCATGCAAAATGAAAAATATAATGCACTGTACATAGGAAATTATTAAAAATACTTAACAGGAGGTTTAACATTGAAGATTTTCAAATAGTGTTTATTGATATTTTACAAAAAAAGGAGTTCTTCCGTTTTACTTTACTGTTATATCCATTAGGTTTTGCTGCTAGAACAGAACAATTAATTAAAATAGTACCATTTTGCAGCTACCAGCCTTCTAAAAGTGTAAAATATATTAATTATAAAATATACCAATTATATATATCTAACAATTTTAATTTACTGACATAGATCATCCAAACTGAAAAGCATTGAAATTTCTCATGCGGGAACATGGAACTGTAAGTTTAAATTGAGAAATAAAAAAGTTTTCGATAGCTAATCACAATTGGATGCTTAATCACAGGATTGTTTTTTGATCTACAGAAGTTATTTGTAGTAAAACAGTTAGTAAATTGGATTTTTTTTAACCCTTCCCATTAAAGAAAAAAATTTTATTTAGTTAATGAAAAATTTTCACAGTTTTCAAAAATAATAATAATATTTTAATTCTTTCATAATATTTTAGCTTTTTTACATTTCATTATTATTTTCCATGACATATCTCGTCATACTTATTTTTGCCCTACTCCAATCATTTTTTTCCACATAAAATCATATTGCTCTTCTAACTTCTGAAATATGGAGACCAGGCTCCCCAGCGGCTGAGCAGTGAAGTAACTGAATACTGGTAGTTTAGCCTGGGGCTTGAATCCTGGCAACCGGATAGGCTGCATAGATGCTTTCATGGTTTTCTTCATATACACGATGTATATGAGGCAGTTTCAATTAGAAAGACTTCCACAAAGGCTACGTCCCCCTTAGGCAGATAGCCTTTGAGTGCTTTGCTATAATCAAATAAACCAAACCGAAATGTAGAGACCTATATCTGATTACTCTCAAAATTGATTTCAAAATCTCTGCCAAAATGAGGTTCCTTTTTTTTAAAATTTTAGAATACTTAGTTTCTTTACCATTAAATAAAATAAAATTTATATTAAAACATTGCTGGATGTTTTTGTTTATACGTAAGTGTTGTCAGCCAAACATGCGCTAGGCTAAATGCCCATTTCAGTTAAATACCCTGTCAGCTATATGTCCCTGTCAGTTGAATGTCCTGTTATCTAAATGTGCTATCGGCTAAATGCATGTGTCAACTAAATGTCCTGTCAGTTAAACATCTTGTTCGGTAAATGCTCTGTTAGATAAATGTCTGTGTCAGTTAAATGCCCTGTCAGAAAAATGTCCATGTTGCCTAAGTGCCGTTGGCTAAAATACCAACTTTCCTTTCAGTTAAGTTATTTAATTAATTATAGTAAATTACTAAAAGAATTATCCACTTGAGAAGGAATGGTTTAAAAGATGTTCAGAGGGAAACTGGCTTAGATTCACATATTGTGAACTATAATATGAATTGTCAATCTTGTTTAAGGCAACAGAAATCGAGCTGCTACTACTTTTGTACCACTCAGCCAATGAATTTCTGTGAATCTTACAATTTCTTATAAAAATAATTTCTCTCTTTGTTTAAAATGAAAAAAATACACTTAAGATTAATTTAAAAAAAAAAAGAGTTTCTGCACAGAACTACATATATAAATTCTAAAAATACATTTACCTCATTTAAGTCGCAAAGCTCATTTTGTGCCAAATCCAATTCTTCCACATCATGACAAAGTTCTTCAATTTTTCGTAAAGTGCCCGCTCGGTTGATTCCACAACAATTTAGTGTAAGTGTTCGAGGAAGAACTAATCTTCCACTAGGACTTGAACGACCAGGAAAACTACCCACAAGGAAGATTTCACATGGCTCTATTGGGTTAACTTCAATATCTTCCACATAACGAATTTCAAGTGCTTCAGAAAATGAACAAGTGGGCATGGTAATAAACTAAAAAAAAAAGTGGGGGGGATTTAAAAAAAAAAGAATACATATTTCAACTTCACAGTTAAAACTAAGTGGCATTTTACAAGAAAAGAACCACTATTAATAATGATTTCCAATATATACAGACACAATTAATTTGACTGTTAATAGATAGAATTCTGCTACTATCTTTTAATATTTAAATAAAGCCTAAGAAGGTCTTGAATTAATAGGTTATTTAGAATATTTTGAAAGATTACCTAGACTTGCTACTTTGTAAGCATATATTGAGAAATTCAATTTAAATAATAATAAAACTTTCTTAATTTTTTGACATTTCATGCGAGTTAAAGACATATTTCTGAGAAAGAATCTCTGTTATCAAATTTTCCTTTTTTTAAATACCCCCTAAGAAAAGTTGTTTTTTCCCCCAGCAGGAATACTGTTTACAAAAAAAAAAAAAAAAAAAGAAGAAAGAAAAAAAGAAAAAAAAAAAAAAAAAAAGAAAAGAAAAGAAAAGAAAGAAACCATTTGGTTAAATTTCTCACAATAAATTTAGCTATTGCAATAAAGATGAGAGATATCCAATATTTCGCTTTGTTGTAACCACAAAGAAAATTTAACGTCATAAGAAAGGACAGATAAAAATTTTTACAATTTGGACAAAAGAAAAGTTTGAATAAAATGTAGTAAGTGACACAGTTATAGGATTTAATAACAATAATAACAAAGGTCTAAATTTTACTACTAATGAAATACGCATATTGAAGACGGATTATTAATTGAGAATATAAACACACAATTTATATAAGTTAAAAAAATGAGTAACAATTAAAACGAAAACGTTGTTTTCTGGTGTTTGAAAATTCAGTTCACGGTATAAAATATAAAACATTTACAGATCTACATATAACGTACAAATAGGAATAAACTTTAAAAAGGGAGAGGAAGGAGAGTGAAAGTACTTGAAATAAATTGGCCAAAAGTTAAAAACAGTTGAAAAAAAAAATCATATTTCCTAATCAAAGTACATTATATAACATATTTTAAATGTCACCAAAGGCATATGCCAGAGCCATTTTTAACAAGGATGTACAAAAGTACTAACATGTTTTTAAATAATGTACAAAAAAAAAAAAAAAAAAGTAGCTTTCAAAGAGTTTGCTTTTGAGCAATAACTAGCCGCTGACAATCACTTATACATATATATATTACTTTCAGGAGTTAGTCACACATTCCTACTGAAAAAATAATTTTTGTTTTTGCTCACATTTAATTATTTTTGCAGATACTGTACTAAAACATAATTTTCACAATTATAACCACTTGCCAAAGCTTTAAGGCAAATTTATATATTAAACGGATACATAAGTTTAATTATTATTCACTGTAGTGCACACAAATTTAGAACAGCTTTTAGAAAACAAGTAACCCTTGATTCAAGGAGCATATTTAGTTTTTGTGTACAGATTCGTACAAAATTTTTTAAACGTAATAAATAAATGGTTCAAGGCAAAACTGTCAAAAATATCTATTACGTACAGATGTACAGATTTGTTTAAACAATATATATAAACTGTTCAAGGCATCACTATCAACAATAAGTATTACGTTAATAAAGAGAAGAGACTACGAATCAATATTTCTGTTCAAATATTACCCCTTTTATTTACACATTATACTCTTTACAGCGTACTTTCTTTTCAATATCAGTATGCATAATCGACCAGATAGTAAACTCACCAAAGCGTTAATAATTTCACATTTTCTAATTATTCATCATACAATCTGCAATATCGATCAGTATGGTTTGAAATTATAAATACTACACCTAACATATATTACTTAAGCATAACGACGAAAAATTTCAGATGACATAATCACTCTTCTAACAAATACAAACATGTATTTAAATCCTTCACAAAACAAACGTTGCAGTTTTCAACGAATCCTACATTCCATGTCAGCTGACAAGGTAAACAACACAGAAAAGTTTAAAAAAATCGAAACAAAATTAAGAAATCAAATTCTACTTACAAACAGAAAACTTTAGCTGAGATGCATATAAAATAAACATTCGGTTAACAGAGAGTAACACAATATCAACAGAACTCTGTATATAAACATTAACAAATTCAACTACAAACCACTACTTCACCTTGAGTATATTTTCCACACAGCTGAGTTGAGACGCCAAGGTTTGAATATTAAATTGAGGACGGCTGCATTCCATCCACTAAAACACTTAAAATATATTGAGTAAAAATTATAAAATTATTAATGTTTTATACATTTTGATATATTAAAGTGCGAACATATGTTACTATCTTTTAATATTTAACTCTGTTCCATTCTTTTCTGGTGAATTTATATTTCACTGAAAATTTTCATTTATTGTACTGATTTCCATTACCGTTCAAAACGTATAAAAATTCATATTATTGAGCTGGCATTATAACTATTTCTACTTTTCTAACTGTAATTTATGAATAATTTTAATTGCTGAGATTAAGAGAAGGATCAGAGCAACTAATTTTTTCTTATTTTTTTCCTCCTTTTTTTTACTTCTGCATGTTACTCGTTTGTGAGACGTTTACTGATGTAAGGTTTTCTTCAATTGATTCCTTTTTTCTATTGACAGTAAGTATAAAATTTGTTTGTTTATTAAATTAATATTTTTTCTGCTAAGATAGCTATTATCGTCATATAAATATGAAATCCATATTATTTCCTATGTGTTAATATTAAAACTTATATATTAAATGTTTAATCGATAAATAATAAGGTTATAATATTTATATTAGAATAATTCTATTGAATTAATGCTTCTAAAATATTATTTTCTAAGAGTATCTTCCTTTACATCGAAAGCAATTTTTCCAAATACGAAATTTTTTGAGAATTTAATTCGATTCTTTCCTTTAGAATTACATCCTATATCATTATACAGAACTTTAATATCAAGATGGATATATTAATTTTAGATTGAAGATTTATTCTTCATTTTGAGAAAATCGTAAGAGAAACTTGCATAGTAACTTCCTTTAGAGCGTTCTTCATTTAATTTTTCTTGCATTAAAATATTTCATGTATAGTATTTGTAGTATTTTGTATCGAAAACTTTTTTTTTCGGGTAAAGTGAATAAGGTTATGTGGAAGCATAAACCTGCTCATCGTTTAACAGTCTTTGGTAGGTTTCCTATTAATAAGATTAAATTTTTACTTATACCTTTACTCAGTTTGGCTTCTTGCATCACCATTTTTCACCCAGGAAGCAGTAAGCAGTTTATTCTCTAATTCTCATTCATTTATGTTAAAGACTAAGTAAGTTTTACGTACTTTCAAAATGTTTGAGTTATTGGAACAAAATATTAAATGTGGAAAGAAAATGTTTAATGCTGGAAAATTATTAGTGAAGTAGTATTTTTAACTTTTTATTGCTTCTAAATTTGAAATTTGTTCTGAGTTAGGTAACATTTAATTCAGAATTATGAATTTTTTTATATGAATATAAGATCCAAAAAATATTTATTATGATGGTAATATTTCTAGTATTTTTCATTTTCATTCTATTTTAACTTTTTAAATTGATGTTTAAAATGTTCATGAGACGTATTTTTCCTTTTTAGATTTGAATATGTATGTAGTGTGTCTAAAAAATTATCAGTTATTTTCAAGTTTTTGAAATAACTGTTTTTTTTAGAAATTTTTTGGAATTTCATATACTAACCTTAAAAATTAAATTCATCTTTTTTTCTTCTTTTTTTTTTTTTTTTTTTTTTTTTTTTTTTGAGCAGGAAAATCATGTGATAATAATGACAGAATAGTTATTGTTTTATCGAATAAAAATTTTAATATTTTTTTAAATATTTCTAATGTTTAATCCAGTTGATTTAATGTTTCTAATAATAATCTGTGAACATTAGATTATTATTAATGTTTAAAACATAATTTAATATTTTCTGCATGGCTTCAACTAAATTTCTCTGTTATTTCTAACATAATTATTTTCATTCATCTTGTACTACAGATTTCAGTAATTACTTCATATTGTATTTTTACTAGTTGTACTTAATACTCTTACTATATTAAGTATTTTACTTTTGAATTATATATATATGTGTGTGTGATTCTACCTTCGCTGTCTTTGGTGTCATATGTGATGAGCTTTTCCAAGTCTTGAGACCTTTGATCACAGCAGTGCGATTTCAAATTGGAGCATTTTTCTTTCTTTCTCTTTTTCTTTTAAAGTTTTTAAATGACACTACATGGCAGTTAATGTCTGTTATATTTTAGAATAAAGCTCCACTTCAGTATGTGGCTCTGAGATTTGGGTTGGGGGGAATCGGGGGAATTTGAATATGTAAACAACTACACATGTTCAATTCATTTGGGAGAATTGGGAAGTTAAAGGGCTACGATTTAGATGGAATTTTTCAGCCTTTCCGAGCACAACGTTGTGATTTCAAATCAGAATGTTTTATTTAAGCTTTTAAATGACACTGCATGGTGTTTGAAGTCTCATACTTTTTAATAATGTTCCACAGAGCATTAACCTTCAATATGTGCTTTTAATTATGAGATTTTTTTTTTTTTTTTTTTTTTTTTTTTTTTTTTTTTTTGTTTTTTGTTTTTTGCTGGATTAAGGGAGTTTGAATATGCAAGCAGCTGCATGTGTTTGATTTTCAGAGGATACATACTAATAGGATTTTATAAATGTGATAAATGATGTTATAAATGTTATAAATGATTTTATAAATAGTTCGGCTAGACTAGAGATTATGGGCCAGTCGCCATGTTAAGCGAAATGTCACTAAATCTGGCAATCCTCATATTTTTTGACGTAATGAAAATCATTAGGGTTTAGGATTACAGTTTGTATTATTTAACAGGACTTTTTGACTTAACTTGGATCCTGAATATTCGTAATTTCACAATTTTTGGTTTTACACAGGGCTGTGGAGTTGGAATCGGAGTAGGGCAAATTTAGGGGTAAAAGTAGTCGGAGCCGCTAAATACAGATCGACTCCGACTCCAGTTTTCATTGGACAGTTTGAATTTGAAATGAAATTTAAATTAATTAAAAAAATTAATGACAAGCTGAGTTATTATTTTTATTTATGGACTGTATACATTAATAAATAGTTATTTTCCATTTTATTGACCTATACATAAATAAATATAAGAGAGGAGGAGGGATGTGATATTTGCCATTAGTGATTAAACTGATTCGTTTAGTTAGAAATCTCGCTGGTAAATTTAGGTAAGCAGCAACAGCACTCCTAAAATTGATGCCATTCTTAGGAAGTGGGCAGAAAAAGGAGCAATTATTGATCAAACATTGCAATAAGGAAGTACATATTTGATGATAAAGATGTTTTTAGAATTAAGAACCTTTTTAGGAGATGTGGATAACCCTAATGTTGCACAGAAAAACTGGCATGATTTTGCAGAATTGGAAACTCTTCTTTCTATACTGTATATAGCCACACAAAAGCTGCAATCTGAAGAATTGACAGAAGGCAAGAATGGGATGTTTGTTCTTTCTGAAATGGAGGATTTATTGCAGAAGGAATCATTTCTTCAATGAAGAAAAGAAAAATTAGTTTGCTAGACAATGACATCTTGCTGAGTTCAAGATATGGAGATACGAAACACCGAATTTTCTTGGATGACGAACAAATTAAAAAGGCAAAGAAAATCATGTATGAACTTTCCTTAAGAATGAAATTATTCTCAGAACAATTGGAGAATTCGAATCGGGAAGTCAAACTGCAGACATTGCAATTGAGTCTTTATCATCCTTTTCCAGTGATGAATTAGATTTTGAGAAATATTTTTGTATAAATTGAAAAGGCTAAGGCAAAGCGAATGAAAATAAAAAAACGAGCATTTAAATATAAAAATGAAAAAACACAAGCAAGATTTATACACGGCCTTTGAAGAAATAGAGAAATATTATTGCGCTTGCCTGATACCTCTTTTAGAACTTTTAAAAATCTATCCTGAAAAGTTAAAAGAAGTAACCCTAATAGTTCTTCCTCCTACTCAAGTTAGTGTGGAAAGACTCTTCTCAGCTCTGAAGTTTATCAAATCAGATCTATGACCCTCCAACAAAGAAAATCTTGCTTAAGCTATACTGTTTTTTAGAAATAACTAATGCTAATTTTTCCATTTCATAATAAATGCTAATTAATATAAATAAATTGCTATACCATCAATTTTTTTCCTGTAGCATCTATCACTTCTTTTATATTAAAAAAAAAATAAGCTGTAACCCATGTGTATATGTTTATACACACACACATATATATAAGGGATTTGGAGTAATGGAGTCATTAAAATTTGGTCATTTTCCCTACCGACTCCACAGCCCTGGTTTTACATGCATTTTCCCCCTCAACCTAACATCATCAACATCTTCATTTCATTGTAACAAGGTATTTGAGATGCTGGTAAGAGAGCAATAATATTTGCTGACACCAGCAAATATCAAAGTATCAGTACAGTCAAAAGTCGTTAATTCAAACACCCATAATCCCTACCTCAAAGCAAAAAACTTTCTGTGCATGCGGCGCGTTGACACATGAGCATAGGCGTTTACGCATGCGCATAAGACCTTTATGACTGCGCATATGCGTATGCACAAGCGCACGTTTTCACGTGTGCGTTTTATGTATAACGGACGGTATAAGCTAAATATCTAATTATCTATTTCAGTTAATGTTGATGATTGCGTTGTTCCTTAATCTTCGAATTGGACCCTGCTTATTATTTTTTGCAGACTGTAAGAGCAATTTTATAAAAGTAAACTTGAACTTTCGATTATGTCAAATAGAATTTCCGATGCTGGAGCTCCCAAAGGATCTACAAAACGAAAATATGTTTCAATGTCCATCAAACAAAAAGTGGAATTGCTGTAAAAAATGGATAAAGACATGAAGGTGACAGAGAGGTTAGTGAAAACGAAAAAATTTCAATTGACGAGTTAGTCGGTATTCTCGGCACAGCAATTACGGGACTTGAACAGCGGAACTTTGTAAGTGAACAAGAAATTATGTCTGTTTATAGAATTAAAGAGAAAGTATTATCACATAAAACGAAGCAACTTAAACAACTTACATTGAAAGAAATGTTTAATAAAGTAAACAAATATATATTAAGCTTTTTTTTTTTGTAAATTTTGATACTCTTTAGATCATAATTGTTCTTTATTTCATAAATTACGGTTTCATATTTTTAATTTTAGAATTTCTGCATGCCATCTTACAAGATTTAAACTGATGATCTATAATCCGGAAAAATCGATAATCCGGAATCACCGAAGTCCCGACGAGTCCGGATTAACGACTTTTGACTGTATTCGTCATTTCACTGTGCTTCTCATGAATTGTGTGAGCAAAATGGCTGGTGTTGAAAGAGCTGCATGTGTGGATTTTGCTTATTTGATTGGGCAAAATTTCTTTGAACATATGTATAACTTTTCACAGGGCTTTCTGTATCTCAGAATCCTGTATGCCACTAATAAAGTACTGCAGGGACAGGGTTTTCCTTGTTTCTGATTGGCAATCCGAAAGAGCAAGATAAGACAACCTTTCAACATCCATGGTGAACTCCTGGAGTGTTTCCATGTGTTTTTT